CTTGACTTGAATAGTTTTAAATTGATTTTATAACGGCTAGATGTACACGCTTTAACTTTAAAATTTGGAGTTAAAGCTTAGCGACACGTTTTTCAAGATAATAATTTTATATTATTTAAAATTTCTCGGTCGCTACACTTGTAAATATATTTCCTGTCACCATGAAATTAACACCATTTTTAAGGTTAGCTTATATAGGGTGCACATTCTGATTAATTTTCATTATAATTGGACCCCTCTTGTGACATGGCCAAAAGTAAGGTGTTCTCAGTTCTTTGTATCTGATTGTTGACACCCCTTCCTGACCTTGATATGTGTAAGAAGCTGGTGCCTGGGGTGTTTGCCTTTGTTGACAGTGTACTTGACTTTTATTTTGTGTCCATTAGCTTTTCAAATTTACCATCAAATAATTAATTTTAGACTATTTTCTAATAAAATCATTGGTACAGTTTACGGTTCCTTCTTTCCGCTGATTTCTTAAATCTCAACCTAATCCCCTGCAGATATTTTTGTAGATAAAGATTTAGTTAATTAGGGGAAATACCTTACTGAAGTAGCATATGAAGCAAACTAAATAGAAACTGCCTCAACGAAAGTTGGCTGAACATCCATCCATCTATCTAATTTTTGGAGATGACTTGAGAAAGAAGCTTATTATAAATTATCCTTTCTGCTGCATGATATCATAATTGGATTCTTTTCCCTAGGCATATAGAGCATCCAAATAGAGCCTGTCATCAGAAATTAGTGCTTTCATGGACTGTACGTCTGTACTCAGGTAACACGTCCATACCCATGATGGATGTTGGAGCATTTCAGAGTCAATTTGCCTGAAAATTTTCTCTTACTCTGCACCATTTCAGGTCATTACGTGTTTTAGGAGCCCAGGGTTTTGCTTGGTGGTGTTGATTGTAACAGAGGGTGGGGTTGGGGGTGATTGGCAGATGTGTTCTTTTTCTCTCCATTTCTCTTTCTTTGTTTTCGCATGTGGCAAGCTAACTCAGTGCATTAGAAGGACACATCATATATTTCGTATGCCACGTAGGAAGAATGGTTAGTTTTATCAACTGATAGTAATAGATATAGTGATTTAACAACTTCAGTGACTGAAATAAAATGAAGTTTAGTGACTAAAATGAACTTTGTTGTTTCTCATATGCCCTATGTTGCTTCCTTATCATTTCTCACGTTTTGTTGGAATCTAAAAAGAGGACTTTTCTAGGTTTCAGTTTACTGACAATGTATACTTGCATTTTAAAGGAATTACTGTTTGGAAGGCAAAGAACAGCTCTACCGGAAACAGCTCAACAACAACAGAGAGCCAGCCAAGTAAACCAGTGGGTGACAGGCATCCTTCCGAAGGTCCTGGAAAGAGCTTTAGAAACTTTCAGTTCGATACTGCTGCAATATTTCGTGCAATGGATGCTGCCTTCTGTGGATAAATGGTGAACCCAACTGCTACTCATAAAGGGCTGATGTGCACATAGTTTGACTAGAGATAGCTATTGATAAGATGTATTTCCTCTCGGTTTTAACTCAGTACTCGTTAGTTGATGTTAGTAGTTGTAATGGCTGTATATTGTGTTCAGTCCTGGCTTGGAGGTCGGGAATGCAAGTACATTCTGTACAGCAAACTATGGGTGAACAGTTCAGACATTTCATCTTATGTGCAGTTACCGTAGGAAACTGATAGTTCAGACTTCCTATAATGCAAATTTAGGCTTACTAACACAAGGATAATTCTTCTTGTACATTAGGGGTGCCATAATGTTGTCCATAATGGACACATGGCACCCCACCATTGGGGGTGTCATGTGTCCATTATGGACACTATTATAGCACCCCTAATGTACTTGTAGCACTTCCCTATTTTCACGCTTCATTGCGAAAATCATCATTTTCATCTATTTTTTCAATGTAAAGTTGTAAAATGATGAAAACACCCTCCTATTTAAATAAAACAAAAAGAATAGAAAAAATAAAGAACAAATTAAAATAATAGTCCCAAATTTTCAGAAGATTACAAATGAGTCTCCAATGTATAATTAAAAATCCAGCATACGTCAAAAATTTCGGCCAACCACCACCTTTGAACCTTAAAAACTTTGGCCAACCACCACCCAAATCACCATAACTCCATACTATTAGATAGCTCTCACTCCCCTCTACAAATACCACCTAGCCACTAGCTCTAACGTCACTAGATTTGGCAGAAATCGAAGGCCAAAATCTTCCTTGCATGCATTTACCATCCATGTTCGATCTGTCACATGGATGCTGAATTGTTGAATACCTATAGGTGGAATTGCTGCGTTGTGATCAGATGATGCCAGAATGGGTGGTCCATGATCATGGGTCCCACCACCAGCGTCGAAAATCGCGACTGAAAGTAGCGTTTTCACTTGATTCAAAAAATGGGGCTGTAAATTTTGATTGTGTGATTTGTTGATGTTGCAAGATCATGAATAGGTGTGCCCTGATAAGTATAGTCGACCGGTATGAAAGAAAGGGCATGTGTATTGCTGGAGAAGGTGATGTAGTCGGTTTTTGTGTTGACAAGTTGTTGATTTTGGCCATCGACTCTGGCCAAATCTGGTGACGTTAGGATTAGTGGCTGGGTGGTATGTGTAGAGGGGAGTGAGAGTTGTCTAATGGTATGAAGTTCCGGTGGTTTGGGTGGTGGTTGTTAGCCCCGGTGAATTGGTTTTTGAAACTTTT